GCTATTTATTTATACTAACCTTCTAAAAACCTTCTAAAAACATTTCTGAGAGCTCTATATTGTTCTTTATGTTGTTCCGAAAACGGGACGCAGTTGGTTTTCTACGTACAAACTGCACAACTTTTTATATTAAAGAATTATTACTGCGATCTGACGCCATACGCCGTAAATTCAGTCGATAAAACAGATTCAGTTTAGGATCCTCTTAAATTATTTGATTATCTATCGCCAACTTGGATCATAGGCTCTTTGAGTCATTTCCTTTTGATTTTTCATTCAATATGTCTCCGGAGTTGTGCGAAAATCAAATTTCTTGGCTATAAGGATAAAAAATCAACGATCAGATTATCTCTTATTCAAGTATTTATCGGTGGTTAACTGCGAGCTTTAATCTCGACTCTCGGCGCAGAATTCACAAAAAGCTTATTTACGCTCGGGATCCGGGCTTTCTGCAAAAATCCAGGTCAAAGTTACAAGCCATCCGGGAGCCACATAAACTCGTTAAGAGCTAAACGAAACGAGATACCGCGACGTGCAAGTACGTGCTTCGCGCACCCTTCGGGCTGATCGACGCGCGCGGCTCTCGTAAGCCTGGTCGAGTGAAGACGAGAGGGCAGACGAGAGAGAACCGTTTTACGAGGATAAGATCCGAGAGGAGAAATGGAAAAGTTAAACGTTCGCAAACTTTCCTCTCCGCGCGTCCTTCCTCTCTCCTTTACAGTTTTCCGTTTCTTCGTGACCTCACGCGCGCCATCGTCGTTTTCATCCGCGCGCTGCTACTTCCCGAGAAGAAACTGTCGCGTCACTATACTGATACTAGCGACGATTCGGGAACGAGAGCAGAAAAGAGGAACACTTCCGCCACTGCTGAAGTGAGGAATCGAAAACAAACAGGAGAGCAGTAAAACCGCGGACACAACGGCGTGTTTCACCTATTTCCGATCCATGGCTCCCCGCACTGTGATCTTCGGTTTGACACTCTATTGACCTCTTATCGAAAGTAGAAACGAGAATCATCACGATTTTTACGAGACAACGATCTCTACTTTGCGTTATAAAGTTATTTTTTTTTTTTTTTGTTTTTTACGCCGCGAATATGAATTTTAAAATTGTAGCCGCGCTTTGAAAGCGGATCAACGGGAATCAGTGTTCACACGTATTTCGTCGATGTGTTTGGTATCGATTGTACTTAATGTCAAGAATTAAATACATATGAAGAATTACGAAAGTTTTCACGCGCTTCAATATTTCAGTGAAGTACATGTGAAATTTTGTCGCGTCTTGCGCCTAACTTTCAATATTTCAAATGTTTTTCAAAGTAATATATATCGATTCAATATAATGAATATTTAATCTTCGACTTCTGATTTGAAGTCTAATATCACGTCAAAATGGACTGCCATACGTAAGATTTGTGTATTTTTACATCATATTGTTATCCTCTATGCGACATGGCGTTATTTGATTTTATATACACGAAGAGGGCTCAAGTAAGGGCCGAAACGTCTATGAAACTACATTTTTATGTGAATTCTATATTTTATATTTTATATTCTATTTTAATAAACCATAAGATCTATTTTTGTTGCTTGATAGAGACCGTTATTCTAATTATTATTTATATCGATTCAATATTTATATTAGTATTAACATTCTAATAATATAATATAAATATTATATTAGTATATTATATTATATTAGCATTNAATTCTATATTTTATATTTTATATTCTATTTTAATAAACCATAAGATCTATTTTTGTTGCTTGATAGAGACCGTTATTCTAATTATTATTTATATTATTACAATATTTATATTAGTATTAACATTATATATATTATATTAGTATATTATATTAGTATATTATATTATATTAGCATTAACATTACAATATTTATATTAGTATTAACATTAGTGTGTGCGAGCAAAAAAGTATATTATAATTTTATCACCGTTCAACCTTTTTTTTAAGTACGCGCGCGCGTACTCTAAAGCATCTAATGTAGTTCAAGTCTGGCTCAACGGCAGCTGATATTGTATTCGTTTTATACGTCACGTTCTGTTGACCACTATCGTCGAGATGTATGCTACGTGCGCGCCTGTATGACCGTCAGCTGTGTTGCACTTATGAGCATCTATCTATGTATCTCTTCCAACTTTTACCGCCGTTTACCTCCGTCCGGTTTCTCAAAGTTCTGACAAAACCCCGCAGATTCGAAGTTGCATTATCGGATGCGAGATTTTTCCCAATGTTTTTTCGTATTTTAAATAAACCGCAAAATGCTGTGTACAAATCAAATGTACAATTTATGGGAAAAAATAAGAACGTTAATTAAAAGCGTCAAACGCATTTGACAAATTATGTTGTATTATTTTTTATTTAATATTTTATATATTTGAAATAATTCGATCATCGAAGAAAAAGACACGTAAGCGATCGATACGTTCGGTAAAAAACGAAAAAACACACACAAAGTGGTCAGACGAAGTTTATAGAGAAACACGTTTGTGATCAGCCGGAGTTTAAGTGGAAAAGGACGGTTATCGTCAGACAAGATTCAGTGAAAAATCTTATTTGTGATAAGACATTTAGAAAAGAAAATAAAATATACATTCGAGTGCGAATTAACTTACACAAACCAATCCACAATGTATTTTTTGTTAAACAAACAACAATTCATTAACTTTAAACAATAATTAATAAAAAATCTTTTAGACTCCGAAGTTTCTAAACTTACAATTAGAAATGTATAGACGGTCATGAGAGTCGTTTGCTGGATGTTGTACGGAAAATATGCGTGTGTTCACATGTAAATCTTACACGCGCGTGTGTGTGTGTGTTTGTGTGAGTTTTTGAATTGAGATTTTAACTCACGCGTAAGATATTAACTTTAATTTATGTGTGCGCATAAACAATATATAACAATACATAATATGTATGTAATACATAAATAACGATTAATAATTTTATTGTTGTTGCGTTTGCATAGATTTATACGTGCGTGAGTAAAACGTAAGATATTAACTTTAATTTATGTGTGCGCATAAACAATATATAACAATACATAACACGTATGTGATAAATAATTAGCGATTAATAATTTTATTGCCGTTGCGTCTGCATATATTTATACGTGTTTGAGAGTAAAACGTAACTGTATATAACGTTTGTGTCAAAGTAAATTTGTATCATGTTTCGCGAAGACTAAAGGAAAGTAATAATACAGGTGTATATTTTCATGCGATACGTTTTGCACGGCAAATGATACTGAAAGCTGTTACGGAGCTTTAATAACGAATAAAAATGCCTCACACATTCTCATCGTTTAATTAATTTCTTCCGGCCGCAATGCGACAGCGGAGAAGTATTTAATTACGAGTACTCTACACGTGATGCATAACTTTTATGTAATCGTTAGCCGTATGGTTTCGCATAGTGTAACATTAAAACATTACGACGGTTATTATTCGACCATATCCATTAAAAAACATTATCATAATCACGATGTAATGCCAGCGGTAACGGCTTTTATCTGAGAGGACGAATTAATTATAACGAACCGAAAATTTCTGTTTTCTTTCTGTTTTCATACTTGGTGGAATTTTTTTTTTATGACCAAAGCACACGGCGTACTTTTGCGAGCAAAACGAAGATAAATTTGTTATCCCGCGCCACATCGTCGTTATTTTTTTTTTTTTCCAACGATGTTTAACTTGAAAAGAAACTAAAATATTACAAGTACAGAAAACGTACCGCTCTCCACTATTTTCTCTGTTCAATCTTTCATATTTTAAATGCACAATATTTTTGCGCAGACTGAATATATACTTATTGTACAGTGAAATATTAAATACTTAGCATGCGTTTTCTCAACCATAGATGGATGCGGTTTGGGTTATAAAATGTTTTTTGTTTCGCCGCGTGTAACTGCACGCGTAAATTTTGCATGTGTAATTTTGCGCGCAATACTATTTGAAACATTTAACCGCAGAACTTTGGCCTATATATATTTTGGCGAAACATCAGTTTCGTCACAAAGTACGCATATTTTTCCGCTTTCTAATAGCCACACAAACGCAGCAAGGGAATTTTACTCTTTAACTCATAAGAGTTATAGTAATAAGTAAGTAGTAAGCTATCCTATACACATTTTATTTATTATTTGTTTAAATTATTATTTTATTAAAAATATTGCAGTGCAATGTATCTGCAACAATAGATAAAAATATTTATCTTATTATTAGTAATTATTTATTTTATATTATTCTTATAATTTAAAGTACATTTTTATAACGCGCAATTTTTTGTCTCAAACAATGTTATATTTAAATCAAATATATTTTATATTACATTTATGTTA